AAATTCTCCCAAGAGATGGAAGCATAAAAAAGGTCTCAAAAATTTCCACAAATCTGTTAAGCAAAGAAATAGCACTCAGTAGTCAGACTAAATTTTTATGACGGGTGAGTTTCTATCTTTTCAGAGGTCACAAAGAAGTAAGAAATTGTTCCAGATTCTAAACACTTGAGATCTACAGAAGACAAAGTAATAATTATTTACACAGAAACATGTTTCACATTTCAGAAAAAATACAGTTTATTACAAAATTCCCCTCCATTTCTGAATCTTGGGCTGTAGAGTCTGAGGAAACACTAGCTTCCATAAGTACTACTCAAATGTATTCTAGAAAGCTCCATGAGTAATTCTTACTGAGAATACTCTTGAGGATTCAGAAAGCCAATGGGACTGTTACAAACGAATTATAAAATACTCATGAGTTTTTAATAAAAATGATAGCATTGCATAGCTATGCTAGTAGAGCAGCCCCTCAAGGCAGTAGCCAAAACACACATAAAATGTCCTCAGCTGGCAAGAGTTGTTTACACAGGAGCAGACTGAGAGGACTCTTGGCTCCTGTCCCCAGGCTACCTGTCAAGCTCCTTCTGGTGCTCCATCAGGAAGCAGGAGAAGACTGGGTGGCAGGGAAGCTCCAGGTCTACTGGAGTGACATCTTCAACCTGATGTGGCTGTAAGAAGTGCTTTCAGGATTAGATTTAAACTCCTTTTATACGGAGCAGGTGAGGAGGAGGGTTGGCCTTTCTGTCCAGAGAGCTGGGTAACCACCTTTTTTAGTATCTCATAAAGAACTCAAACAGAATCCCCATCCCCAAATCATTTTCCTTTCCAGCTTTTTCTGATGCCTGAAATCCTGTCTTTATAGCTTCATCTTTGGTTACTGCTAAGCATCTCCTCTATCAAAAATAAAACATTTTGGGATGGCAAGATGGTTCAGCGGGTAAGAACACTTGCTGTCAAACCTGACAGTGTCTCCACAATCTGCTTGCCTCCCACTGTGTATGAGAATCTAGCAGGTCAGAGCAAAGCTCTTTTGCCTCTGAATGTAAGCATGCCAGAAGAAAGAGCTAGAGAATGGTGCTTCAAAAGCAGGCTTAGTGTGCTATGAGTGATCATTCTACATGACCACAAGGACAGATGTAAAAAGCCCAGGCCTATAGTGTCTCTTCCCATCACTCCTAGTACTTTGTTTGCTGGGTACCACATTTTTTTTTTTTTTTCGGTCTTTTTGAGACAGGGTCTCCCTGTAGCCCCAGCTGTCCTGGAACTCACTATGTAGACTAGGCTGGCCTTGAACTCACAGAGATCCACCTGCCTGTGCCTCCCAAGTGCTGGGATTAAAGGCATGCGCCACCATTCCCGGCCTGGGTGCCACATCTTTAACAGTGCAGGAAACAAGCTGTAGGGACTGCCAGTTTGCACAGAGCTAGAGCCTAGAGGAGCTCCTACTGTGAATGTTTCCACATATTTTAAAGTTGTTTTTGTAGAATTTTGAGCCTTACTATAAAACTTTGTGAATAATAGATTTCTTTCTGGAAAACATACATACACGGAGAATACCTAATGCTCATTTTGGGAACCCAGGTATCAAGGTCGTGCACAGAGTCACAGCAAAGTCTTATTAAATGCATTCATAGGAAGAGCTTCAGTTTTCTCTACAAAATGAGATGGCCAGTCTTGATCAGTGTCTCTGATCTCCAGGGTGGTACTCCAACTATTTGAGTTACCTGCGGTAGGGAGAGGGGAGTGACCTTTTTAAAACTTTATTATTTTTAAGTGCATGAGTGTATTGCCTGCATGTGTGTAAGTGCACCATGTCACATAATGCCCCTCGGAGGTCAGAAGAGGGCATCAAATCCCCTGGAACTGGAGTTACGGACTGTTGTTAGCCGCCATGTGGGTGCTGGGGATTGAACCTGGTCCCTCTGCAAGAGCAGTCAGTGCTCTTAACTGCTGAGCCATTTCTCCAGCCCCTATACACTTTAAATTTCTACACTGGTTTATGAGCCATGGTAATTATATAATACGGTAATTATAACATCAATCTGACCTAAAATTTTGTGTCTGATTAGTACCAAGTGAGAAAATTCAGTTCTGCAAGAGACAACTGGAGACTCATCACGTTTTTGTTTTTTCCTGACAGCTGGCAGTCAAACGCAGGACTTAGTATAGGCTT